CCCGGGCCAGCGAGCGGGGCTTTTCCCTCCCCCTCCCCCCCAGGTGACCAGAGAATCCACATCGGAGGCACCAGGCTTTTGTCATGTGGGCAAGGAGGAAGATACCCCACCCTGAGGAATTCAACACCAGCCTCTCACACTGGCAGAGACAGATCTCTGGAGAGGGGCACCAACGGTGGCATTTCTGCCACACCTGGGACCGGGGCGGGAGCTGGAGAGGGGCTGGGGGTGAGGGCTGGGGCCTGGTGCTGACTGCTGCAGCCAGGAGGAGCTGGCCATGCCCAGCCTGACCCCTCCGGCCAGGGGGCCTGCCCGGCTGCCACCTCCCCCCTGTTTGTAGGAAGAGGCAGGTTTTTGGGGGAGGTCTGGATACGTGTGCCCTGGCATAGCCCCAGTCGGTCGTACTGACAGTGAATACAAGCTCTTTATTTCTGTTTGGTTTCTTTTCCTCTCTGGCGAACCAGCGGCAGTGGGGCTGGAGAAGCATCCCTGGGGTCTGTAATGATAATCCTGACACGGACAGAAGTTCAGCCAGCTCCTGGGGCCGCCCCAGCCTCCAACTGCTCCAGGGCCCCTGGGAGCCTCCCTGCAGCCTGCGGGAGCTGCCTGCTGTCACCCAGTGCAGCCGAGAGCTGGACTGGGCTGGGCTGGGCCCCCCGATCCCTTGGGGATGACATGGGGAAGGCCCAGCAGCCTTGCTGGTTCTTGCTGGGCGTTGCTGGTGGCTGCGTGGGGCCAGGAAGGAGTTTTCTGCTCCTGCTAGGCAGTGGCTGGGCTGTGCTGGTGCCGGTGCCGGTGCCCGTGCCCGGGCTGGGCTTAAACCCGGAGGGTCGTGGCTGGAGAAGACAGGCACAGGCAGCTCCCGCTCTTCTTCCCTCTCCCCTCACCACGTCCCTCGTCCCGTGCTGTGCCCCCACCGCCCAGAGCAGGAAGCGCTCATCAGGCCGGACGAGGGCTGTGAGGGGCAGCTTGCAGGAAGGCTCCGCGCGTGGGTGCGGCGGGGCGGCAGGGACGAGCCCAGCGGCGCTGCCCGCCCCCCGGCGCTGCGGGGCAGGCAGCGGCTGCGCGGGCACTGGGGAGGATGCTCCCGGCCAGGGCTGGGCACAACGCGGGGCAGGGAGACCGCTTTCCCCTCTTGCTGCTCCACGCGCGAGGGGGTTTCCCGTGCCCGAGGCGCCGGGCGCAGCCCAGACCCAGATGAGGACGGGCTGGGCCAATGCTGCTGTGGGATCAGCCCGCAGGGTCCTGGCTGGAGGGTCTGCCCCGGCGCGCGGGCTCAGCCCCACGCTGCACGGGGCAGGAAGGGGTTTGCCCGGTCAGACTCGTCTTCACTGCGGGTTTCCCCTTCCCTGCACGGCC